GCACTTAGACTTTTAGGAAGAAAAAATAGCTTTGCTGTCAATTACTGTGGAGGCAAATGGCAAATCTTTGTTTTAGAGAAAGCAAAAACCATTTGGCATCTGATAATAAAAGCATTTATAAAAAGAATTTCACAGTAAAATTGGCGATTTTCCTAAATGAGCATTTTCTGCAAAAAAGATAACAGTTCATTATTCAAAGTGAAATGGAAATTTAGCAAAATTTTCCTGATGAACTTTTAAATGTAGGCGTTTCCATACATCCCTATATGTTAGTGTAATTAATTGAACTTTAGACCTCATATCCAAAAACGCTTAAAAATGGCAAAAGAAGCGAACCAACCTCGTCCTAAGGCTAAGATTTTCAAGACTTTTGACATTCTAACTAAACATATTATGTGATCAAATTAATCCGCCCGCATAGTTTAAAAAACGAGCGAATACATATAACTATAGAACGGGAAATGTTTCGCTAAACCGCTTGTCTCCGGTTTATCAAAGCATGATAAGGGAACTCCGTTGCATTAACCAGAGCTAGTCCTTGTCACAGTCACAAAAGGTAGGGAAAAACAGGAGAGGGGAAGGAGTAAGAGGGGGGAGGGGGGGGGAATAGAAGTTGTATTGGGACCATGAAGAGGATGATTAGCAAGAGGATGCAAAAAAAGCTAAGTACCATTTGCTTTTTTGTAGCAGGAATGAGTGGGGAGGATGGGTAACAAGAAAGAGCCATTACAAGGGGACAGCATCTTTTTTTGAATGCACAATTTCCTTTAAAGGGATTTATGTCGAAGCTACATTGAAAATGTTTAAATAATAGAGGGACAAGGGACTTCCCAAAGTGGGGGAAATTTTTTTTTTGCATTTTCAGTTTACCAACATGATATAGAAAATGCTTGGTGCGCTATCTCATTTTAATAACTCAAACGATATGGGAAGGAATTGAAGTTTATTGCTCTTTGGAACCGCCAGAAAAATTTTACAAGATCGTAAAAACCGAAAATCCCAAAGCAAACTTCTTATAAACTTACTCGACTGAAGGCCGACTTCATCTTCTGCATATCAGCACTACGTTCGATTTCGACCTTCTCACGTACAATTGCCGAATCCTCTACACCTTTCTCGAATCTAAAATGACAACTCGTAATTCTCGTGACATATTGTAGATCTCATAAACATTGCAATGTCGGGGCGACATACCGAAGTATGGCAGCTTTCACTGAAATTTTACTACTGGACATCGTAAAAGAAGATGCAAATAGAGGGGCAATCAGGGTGGTCTATGTGGCTAATAGGGCACTTTTTTATGTCATTCGGATAAATCGTAGCATATGCTTTCGCGGATTAAACTGTAGCCTTAGCCACCGCAGAAGTTTTGCAAATTGAAAAAGGAGCCATAAAAAAAGATCTAGGGCCAGCATTCGTACGAAAGATGTCACACTAGTCACACGCGAATTTTGCATATTTATTTTCATTCTTCACATAGGTTTTTTTCTGACGCGTTTTTTTGTAACTTGACCAAATAGGTTATGAGCAATTCTTTACTAGCCTATTGCCAAAATTATGACTGTGTTTAAAAGATTTGAAATGCCAAAAAACTAGTTATTCCTATTCTGTGTACTAGCCACTACATCTACAATTTTTTTCATTCTACGTCAAAAGAAATACCAGAGTTGTTTTCTTTTGAACTAAAAAAATTTGAGCTCAAGACTATCAAATGGAAAAGAAAAAGACGGGCTGAATA